GTAAAATGTCTTGTCAGGGAAGTACAAAAATACTGTAAAATGTCTTGTCAGGGAAGTACAACAATACTGTAAAGTATTGTGTCAGGTAAGTACAAAAATACTGTAAAGTGTCTTGTCAGGGAAGTACAACAATACTGTAAAATGTTGTGTCAGGGAAGTACAACAATACTGTAAAGTGTTGTGTCAGGGAAGTACAACAATACTGTAAAGTGTTGTGTCAGGGAAGTACAACAATACTGTAAAGTGTCGTGTCAGGGAAGTGTAACGATACTGTAAAGTGTCCTGACAGGGAAGTGTAACGATACTGTAAAGTGTCGTGTCAGGGAAGTGTAACAATACTGTAAAGTATTGTGTCAGGTAAGTACAAAAATACTGTAAAATGTCTTGTCAGGGAAGTACAACAATACTGTAAAATATTGTGTCAGGGAAGTACAATACTGTAAAATGTCTTGTCAGGGAAGTACAAAAATACTGTAAAATGTCTTGTCAGGGAAGTACAACAATACTGTAAAAGTATTGTGTCAGGGATTGTTGTACTTCCCTGACACAACACTTTACAGTATTGTTGTACTTGTGTAGTACCTGTACCACAGAAACATTATGATAATATAAAGTTCAGGCCTTATGCTCAAGTGTAATATTTGACAGAAAAAAATTGGTCATATTATATTTATTTTAAGGGTTTTATATGTATATATGAAATAGCAGATCAACCAGGGAACACTAGGCCTCTAACATGGTCAATTGAAAGATACAAGACTGGCGTATTTTCAGGTGTTTAGGAATATACGTGCACAGTTTAAGGAATTAATATATAGGGACAACTAGGGCTTTGACAGACAACAAAAGTTTCTAAAGTAGCCAAACTTATCTAGGACTGGGTGTAGGCTAGACATTCTCAGACTTGTAATCCAAGTGTTAATGGTTTCTATCCCACTCTTTCAGAAAGGGATCATGAATACACTGTAAGTGTCTGTCAAATCCCACCATTTAGTCTGATAGGAGTAGCTCAAAAGTTGAGAGTGGCTAGCAGCATATAGCCCTTGTTTCTAAAACAAACAAACTCTTCCCCAGGTTTAGATTTAGGTAAATTTTTTTAAAAAGGTAATTTAAGTGGCTGACCACTTTGTATTAATTTCAAATTTTTTCACCGTATCAATGTATCAGCACTGCATGGACCCCTAGGTTAGGGATGCATTTTGGTTTGATCATAAATTTGTGAAACTGAACAAGTTAATTTAGGTTACCATTTCCCACTAGTCTGCTATGTTAATTTGACATCACAGGTACACTATTTATAGACAGCTTTTCATTTCACAACCAGCTATATAAAGTAACTATAGGAATACAAGAATATATCTTAAAGAAAATTTGACTTCAGCACCAATTTTCTTGATCTTCCAATAGAAACCTAAAAAATTAAATAACTAGGAATGAACAGATTTGAGAAAGTTTTTGTCTGGAATATGCTGGCTATATCCCTGTACCTTCCTGACACAACATTTTACAGTATGGTTACACTTCCCTGACACAACACTTTACAGTATTGTTACACTTCCCTGACACGACACTTTACAGTATCGTTACACTTCGCTGACACGACACTTTACAGTATTGTTGTACTTCCCTGACACAACACCTTACAGTATTGTTGTACTTCCCTGACACAACACTTTACAGTATTGTTGTACTTCCCTGACACAACATTTTACAGTATCGTTGTACTTCCCTGACACAACATTTTACAGTATTGTTGTACTTCCCTGACAAGACACTTTACAGTAATAAAAGGTTGAGGTAACATTTGGAGCCTTACAGTGTAGTACCTGTACCACAGAAACATTATGTTAATATAAAGTTCAGGCCTTACATTCCATGGGTGTATTTTAAGAGTGACTGTCAAATCCCACTTTTTGATTAGAGTATCCAACAGTTTGTAATGAGTGCTGTTGACTAGCTTCCTTCCCTCTAGTCTATCATGGGTGTATTTTAAGAGTGACTGTCAAATCCCACTTTTTGATTAGAGTATCCAAGAGTTTGTAATAAGTGCTGTTGACTAGTTTCCTTCCCTCTAGTTTATCAGTTGACAATTAGGGATAGTTCCTGAGTAGCTTTGCATGGATTTCTGAAATGATAATTTTATGGAAAGTTATTAACAGAATTTCAAATACAAGTTTGGTTTTAATATGTCAAGAAAGCATTGCATTGTCATGAAGCTTGTGGTAAGTGTAAAAGTATTATATTAAAGAGCATGGTGATTATGACTATGTCTCTGTCATGTAAAGTCTAAAAGAGTACAGTCAAGGAAGCTTGAGTTTAACGCGTTGTGCTGGAGATTATTATAAGCTTAGTTAGTACAAAGTGTCACGTCAAAAACAATATGATGATGTAACGTGTTACAGAGAAGCTTGATACTCATGTGGAGTCTTACAGAATAAATAGTTGAGGTAAGTGTAGTACCTGTACCACAGAAACATTATGTTAATATAAAGTTCAGGCCTTACACTCATGTGGAGCCTTACAGAATAAAAGGTTGAGGTAAGTGTAGTACCTGTACCACAGAAACATTATGTTAATATAAAGTTCAGGCCTTACACTCATTTGGAGCCTTACAGAATAAAAGGTTGAGGTAAGCTCCAAAATGCAGAGAATGATTTAGGTTGACAATGAAACATGGAACCACCATGCTGACCACTAGGCAACACCCTCTTGTGTAAAAATGAAACTTTATTAGTCATGTTTAGGATTTATTATTATAATTTTTTTAGAAAGATTTTGACGGCCAAACAAATCTTTATTGATGATGGAGATCAGGTACAAGTACACGACAGATACATTCAGTTATTTTCACTATACAAAATTAAACATAAAACAAGTTTGTGATCCTAATTAAATGGTTAGGATTCAGTAAAATTAAGTAGTATGTAACACCAACATATAATGTATTTCATCTAAAAAGAGAGTCACATGTATGACAGAAAATATACATTTTTTCAAACATTTAATTTCGGCAAAATGTTCATCTTAAAACACCGGGAAAACATTTTAAAAGCTCGTATATATATCACTTAAGACAATAATTTATAATTGAAATCTCTAACTATATAAAATACTTCACAAATGCTCAAGGATTAAATCAGAATAACGTTACTCCAGTTAAAAACTTGGATGAAAAAGAGATTAATCTCCTGCTACTGAAAGCTAATCGTTAAAGCAGTACTAGTATAAGAATTATAGAGCAGTTCTGTCTATACTTGACTCTGAGTAGTTTAACCTTACATACTCATCTATGTAAGTGTCTTGATACTGTTTATGAAGCAATAACGTATAATTCACATTTCTCAGAATAAATCTTTGACAATCAAAGCAATCAATTAAATATCATTAACATATTTTGTAGTTGACCTTTATCTTTAAGTGACCTTAGAAGTTACTGACCACTGGACAACAGAGAAAGAAGTAAAGGTGTTAAAAGTTCATTATAAATATGCTTATAATTTACTAACGGATGTGTTGATAATCGTCAATGGCTCTCGTATCAAAACCAACACTCCTTCAATTCAATAACGTAAGCCACAAAGTTTCATAATGCTACATTTACACAGCACAGGTTTACATATTATAAAGTTATGTATTTGAACTCAATAGAAATATTGTTGACATGATATGTAAAATTGTGATCAGAAAAATAATACAAAGTTATGGTGATCTTAGTGGTAGTATATATGAATGATGTCAGTTGTTCAGGGTGAGTGATATTTCAAAATAACATGAGATAGAGTTACTTTGATGTTTGAAACTTCTTTACATACATAAATATTATTAGGATGACACTTATACTACAACACTGAATAACCTTACTACTATCTATATAACATCAGTCAAACTATATTCTCATTAAATCAGCATTTCTTAACCTGTTCGATACTAGGAACTGGCTCACTGCCTGCCTCCTTAAACTATCGGGGACCACCAAAGTGAAAGTACAACAAAAAACAAACAAAATATATTACAATTTACATATGAATATAATTTGTTTTTGTGTGAAATTCCGTGGACCAGTGGTAGAAAGCACTGGGGTAAACTTTAAAACTATTCAGGGGAATATACTCGGAGAGAAGAATAAACAGTATATTTTGAAACGTGAATCCAAGTTTCTCTATAATATAGTTGGAAATTAGTAGTTTTCTTTATTTATATATGTCAAAATGAAAACAACTTATCATAAATCATTTTCCTCTCTTAACATATTACAGTTTTTGTTATCCTAAAAACGTAGTTTATTTCACCCGATCTGTTATTGAATGAAGTTATGCTGAACATTTTGTAAAAATCAACTACAGTGCATTTAATGCTATAATGAACAAGATAGATTTTTCAGGTTATTAAGAAGATTAGCAACAAACAAAATACCATAATCACAAATACTATAAAAAAAACCTGGAGAATTAGTTTGTTTGAGATACAGCTCGGGTGTTTACTTAAACTGTCAAAGCAATATTTTGAATAGATTTAAAACACTTTAATGAAATAAGAAACAAGTGTTTTGTGAACCAGTTGAAGGTCGAGTTTCTGTAAACATTTTCAAAGTGGTTATTTATCAACATTCACAGACGACAAACACGCTGAATTCTACAGTTATTGTAGCAGAAACAAAATATCCTTGTCTGGTACATTAGTGAAAAAAGTTTTATTTAAACAGCTGCTATTACCGTTTTTTATAAAAAAACAAATTGTCATGTGTATGTCTCTGAAATAGAATTAATGCAAAGCTTATAGTTATATATAGCTGAATCTCAGAATTAACAACTTGTAAGTTTATAGAGATAATATGCCACATTTTGGTGGAGAGTATGATAACTTGGAACTAATCCAAACCTAATTAAGACCATGATTTGACTAGACAACCTGTAGGTATGGATATTAAATATACTCATCCAATTCTGATGTTACACAATATAGTGCCCGAAACAATAAAACCCTCACTATACTGGCTACACATCACAAAATTCCTTAATATTTATGGCAATGATACATAATGTGTATATATATATAATTTGTATATATTTTTTTACAATACAAACAACAAATATTTTTATAAGAACTTAAAAATGCTTTTTTTTTAGAATGCCACAAACAAGGTTTTTTTCCTGGTCCTAGAACTTGTTTGTCATTTAACAAATGAAACATGTCAGTTTTTAATACTTGCTCGAAGTGTAACTAGCCTGAGCGAAAATGTACATTAAATGTGAAAGCTTAATATAACAATATGAAAGATATTTCACTTCACAGCTTAGGTGTTTAATGCAAATATCTCCAACATGAGACTGAAAGAGGGCTTTTGAGTGTTTCAGACGTTACCAGTGCTTCAAGTGGTGTTGGATGAGGTTGAATGCTCAAAACCATCTCGCTACCTTTTAGTAGACTGTAAGCTTCTCAGAAGGGAAAGGTTCATTAGAGAATGCAATAAATATTTATGGTGACAAGGGACTGGGGAAAAAACTATATTTATTTCTTAAAATGTCATGTAAGAGCAGGAATGAGACAGTAGTACATGGATGGAGCGAACGAACCCCTCTCACAACTCGCTCAGTCGGTGTGATTGAGTTCAGAACCACAAAATAACCAGAGTTTCTATACTATAACTTGTGATAGTCTACATCTCCTTATACTTAATTTTATTGTTTTATTGCCCTTTGAACTATGTTTAACTAATAATCCCACCACGCAAGTTGTGAATCACTTGGTAAATGTGCAGCTCATGTATCCATATTAAATTACAGTTATGGCATAACCTGGTTATAATAAATCCACAATGATTTTATATTTATAACTGACAAATTATACAACAGAAATCTAGTAAAATATTCTAACGAGGTGACTCGTATTACAAATAAACATGACTTGTGTCAATAAATGCTATGTTCATGCCAGTTTTACTGTGACTAGCCACAAAGACATGCCAGGAAAGAGAGTAACCAGTGTTACAGAATAAACATTTAAAATACATAAACTTGAACAACATGATTTGTAAATAACTAAATGTTCATTCATAGTACATATTCTTGAACTCTCAAACAACAACACTGGATTGTTTCTTTGTAGAATTATGGGAGAATCCAGCTCTCACAGACACAAATAAAAAAAACAAAAAACAATTTACCTATTCATTTCAAATGTACTGACTACTTTCTTGTTGTTGTTTTTTTATAAAAAGTAACACGAGCATTTACCACAACTGGATTCTGAAAACCTAACAGTACATTCATTTGTTTATGTAAATGTTTTTTTTTGCTTATGTAAAACATGTACATAAAGTTTTACAGTTTATATGTTAGTGCTTCCGGCCTTCTGTAAAAGTGTCAACACGTCACATAGAAAGTGAATGATAAATACGATATCGGGTGTGGTAGGATAGACTTTAGCTCCATTCCATGTCATCTTAATATGACGTCTTCAAGTACCAACATGAAAATAGAAGTGACATGGGATTCTTCATCGTGGAATCTGCAGGACTTTTAAGACATGCAATTTACCCTCATTTATACACATCTTATATAAACAAACATGCTCACTCAACAATGACACAAGTTGCTGTGGCTACAACATCCAAGTCTGTGAGGCACATCCATTCCGGACTAAGCCAATGGTGTTTCACTTCCTTAACATGTGGGGATCAAGGTGGAACTTCTAAAAAATGAACATTAGATCACATCATATCAGATAGTTATCTGATTATCTGCTTCTTCACTTATCTTGGTCTTCCTCCATTGGTTCCTCAACTTGAGATGATTCTGGTTTCCTGATAAAAAAGATAAACCCATAACTAAAGTTTAACAGTACTAGGTGAAAACAAGTGGCAGATATACTTTCTTAAGGTCATTCAGGCTGTAATTAAATTGAACATAACTGTCATAAAATCTTTACAATAAACTCAAAAACACAAGTTGTGAATCTATTAATTGTTTAGCGGGTCAGTGGTAAGTTTACGGACTTACAATGTTATAGTCTAGGGATTTGATTCCCTGTGGTGAATAAGAGTGTGTATAGCCTATTGTGTTGCTTTGCATTAAAAACACAAACAAAAACAACTGCTTATTAGCCGTGTGGATATTCAATACAGAAATATAACTGATTTTATCATTAAGTTACAATTTGTATTTTACACACATCAGATATGGGAAACAACAACTTAAACAGATAACATAAATGTGTCTGTGTGTGTGTTCTGTTAATTATTCTTAGAGATCCAAAATTTATTCTTATATAACTTTTCTGAGGGTCGGGGTGGTCTTGTGATATGACTGAGGTCTGTGAAAGTTCTTACAAAATGCCTTACTAACGAGCTAGTGGATTAACCCTAAAAGCCAGTTGTAGAACACTTGCTTTGTGTGCAAGAAATCAAGTTTAAATCCAAGCTGGGGGGGGGGGGGAGTTAAAATTACCACAAACTAAACTGGCACCCAATGTGGGCCTTATTTATGACAATGAAAGAATTCAGTAGTTTTTGTGAGTTGTTAAAAGTACTTAACAATTTAGCTCAGCTGATACTTGCCTGGAGTGGGAAAAGACTTAGATAAAAAAAAAGTTTATATTCTCAAACAGATGATAGGAGAATAAAGTAACTCCAGACACTAACATTTTAGTTAGGAATATCGAGATACTGATGATGGATTAAACTCACTGAATATGAGTAACAGTCATCGACAGAGAGGCAAGAGCTGTGACAGTATCTAACTCCTCCCGTTCTTTCTGTTGAGCTTCCAAAAGTGAATAGCCAATTGTAGGTGCCCAGCGTTTGATGCACGGCCAATGGGAAGCTTTGGAAGAAACACATGAAAAAAAAAAAGCTTTAGAAATATTTTATAATTGAAGAATCTGTCAAGTCTGAAAGAGAAATCACTACCCATCAAATGATGATATATATAAAAGTATTAAAAACCATAATCGGTTATATATTGCTGAAAGAAAAAATAATAACAATCACCTCTTAACACCACTGTACAGCCAATTTTATAAATAACTTGTTTAGTATATATATATTGTGTTCATGAAACAGCTATGCCCCACCTAATGTTATACTCTGTATATTTAAGCTCCCTCCCTCCAGTTTGATGACATAATAGCTGTTCACAAGATTGGGGTGGAAGTTATGTGCTTACTAATAACTTTCAAATGTCAATCGATTTGTAACTTTGTATGTAGTACCTGTTGTATACATTTGGTCAATATCCATTCAACCCATTTTGAAATACCCTGTCCAAAGTTAGGGAAGATTTTCTATTTACAAGTGACCTTTTTGTGATGACCTTCAAAAGTGAATAGGTCAAGAATATATATTGTTGTATAAGTTTGGTCAAAATCCATCCATATCAACTTAAGACATCCTGTCCACAAGATTGGGATGGACAGGTAGGGTCAAACAAATAAACCTACACTTCATTGCAACACCTAACAGTAGGGTCAAACAAATAAACCTACACTTCATTGCAACACCTAACAGTAGGGTCAAACAAATAAACCTACACTTCATTGCAACACCTAACAGTAGGGTCAAACAAATAAATCTACACTTCATTGCAATACCTAACCGTAGGGGCAAACAAATAAACCTACACTTCATTGCAACACCTAACAGTAGGGGCAAACCGCAACACCTAACAGTAGGGTCAAACAAATAAACCTACACTTCATTGCAACACCTAACAGTAGGGTCAAACAAATAAACCTGCACTTCATTGCAACACCTAACAGTAGGGGCATAAAAACAGAAACACTAATAAATGTATAAAATATTTTCAAATAAGTATACAATTAATGCACAAAGTAAGAACAGTCAAAAAAGTTGAGTTTTGTTGAAGTAAATTAATAATCTAACAACGGAGAAAAAAAACCAAAAAACATTGTTTTACAGCCGACTATACTCAATCAGTTATCATAGCACAGAATGGGGGTCTGGGAAAAAGCTTGAGAAATACGTAAGAGTACTTATAGTTATGACTAAAGAAAATATATCCGTTAATCATTATTGAAATTTTTAGCACAGAATGAAACAATCCAGTTTTTTGATTTATTAAAATTAGTTTCACCAAACGTGACTGGATTTTTACGTAATGTTTTTTGCATTTCACATTCATCTGTACTTATGAACGTTAACAACAGCAGATTTATTGGTAGAAACAGAAAAATAATTAAATGATGGCATCTTTATTATTTCATTAATAACCTGGAAGGAAATACTCTTTATATTTTTTAATATAAACTCATTTAATAATACCCCCCATGGTGGGCAGAGCATAGATAGCTCTTTGTGTAATAAACCGGGTTTCGATACCCATGGTGGGCAGAGCATAGATAGCTCTTTGTGTAATAAACTGGGTTTCGATACGTATGGTGGGCAGAGCATAGATAGCCCTTTGTGTAATATACCAGGTTTCAATACCCGTGGTGGGCAGAGCACAGATAGCCCTTTGTGTAATAAACCGGGTTTCGATACCCGTGGTGGGCAGAGCACAGATAGCCCTTTGTGTAAGAAACTGGGTTTCGATACCCATGGTGGGCAGAGCATGGATAGCACTTTTTGTAATAAACCAGGTTGCGATACCAGTGGTGGGCGGAGCAAAGATAGCCCTTTGTGTAGCTTTGTGCTTAACTTCAAACAACAACATTTTATAATTTTCAAAACATTCAAGATTTCAAAAACAGAGAACATGAAATTATGTTATAATAAACAACTAATTTTTACAAAGCTTACAAGTAAAATATTATGTTTTTCCTGATGCTTACAAAAGTATACATTATAAGGCTTGAAATTATATAGCTCAAGTACAAGTGAAAAACAGTACACACCTTGAGTTACGACAGTTCGTTGAAGAACTTCCACAGCAATAGGACAAGGTTTTCGAGTTATTTCATCTTCTGGTAAAGGTGTTCCTTCGTCTCCCAGCAGAGCCATGACACATTCTTGAGTACAATCACAGATAGAGGTAAGGTCATAGCTGTAAATAAAAAACAAATATATAAATTTTAAAACTAGCACATCAACAAAAATAAATATTCATTATTTCTTTTTTTTTTTGTATATGTGTTTTACATTAGTGTAAAATATAATACAGCTTCAACATGTATCATTTTCTAATCGTAGAATTATCAAGGTAATAACGTACCCTCCTTCCAGAGCAAGAACCACACGTCCTTTAGCAAGTGTCATCAGTTGTTTGGTTAGGTACCCGAAACCTAAAAAAGACATATTTATTATTAAGTATCAGCACAGATGTTTAAAAATTGAAATCTCAAGATTAATATAATCTACCAGATTTCATCACAACATTCAACAGTAATCCTACTGCATACATAAAAAAACAAAAAGAATCTAAATTATGATTTCAATAGTTAACTTTAATTTTGTTTCAAGCATGCTACGATAGATGAACATTCTAATTTAATTTCTTGACTCTCATAGAGCACCGAATCGTTTAATTTAGGTTTTACTTAAACGATAATAGAAAACAAAATATAGTTATGAACTACAAAATATTTGATGGTAAAAAGAAAAACATTTCTAGCTATAAAGTATGGATTTTTAAGTAACTTGATATAAGTTGGCCTTAAATTGAATGATATCTCACTAGATTCAGCCAGCCCAGGATGCTTATGTTAGTCCTAAATCTATATATGAAGCTGACAGTGTAGAATAATCATTATAATCAAATATTGAACACAAAATTGTTTATTCAATGGCCTAACTGTAGTGTTATAAGCATTCAGATTTACCATTGAGGCACTAGAGACAACATACAATTATATTCAAAATGGTGAAAAATAAATGTATATACGTTAAATTTTCTAACGAACATTGTGTGTTTTCACTATGGTAAAAGTTTCACTTGTTTATGCTGGTAAAAGCTACACTTAGCTCAGCCAGCTTAGATTTAGGTCAATTCTATATTAAGATAACAATGTAAAATAATCTTTACGATAACATAACAAAAGTAAAAAGTATAGAGAAACAAAAGATAACTATTGTACAAATACAGGTATAGTTTACACTGTATAATGAACACCAACTTAAAACAACTATAACATTATCTCACTAGGACTATTATTTGTATATAATTTGAAAAAAACTAGTCTTAGATACACTACTCACAGGAAGGAGAAACGGTGTAGCCTCCTAGTGGTGCAGGGTGGCCAATAGCTGCATCAAATCCTGCAGCAACAAGGATGATTTCTGGATTGAAATCTCGAGCAATTGGCATTACAATGGTCCTATAGAGTAACAGCAGGCATTAATTGCACTGAAAGGCACTAGTTTTATTTTGAAGATGTACAATACATACCAAAATGATAAAGTTTATACCAGTAATAATAGATGGAATAAAAATAATTAAATATATATTCTAATTTATTGTTATCCAGACAACGTATGAACTTACCAATGAGAACATATATAAATCATAAAAATATAGTTTATAGCATATAATTTTATGGTACTTCTTAAAAACAAAAAGTCCTGAATACTTTTTCCAAACTTATTTAACAACATTACAAAAGAAATCTTGAAAACTGTTCATACTTTTCTTACAACAAACTTGCATAAAATTTTAAATCCTACTTTAATTACAAACTAATCATTTGTACAATTCAATAACTTTCTAAAGCAAGTAAAATACATTAGTTCTAACTAGTCACTTATGTGACAAACTAAAGGTTACTGTTTCAGTCAAGTCAGTTGCATAAGAATGGCAACAACGACAAAAAACAAAAACAACAACTACGTTCGTATTGTTAATACACCTGACGCATTTCTAGCTAAAGCCAAACACGGTACTTTAAGACATATTAATAACCAGCCTGTCAATCAAAATATTAGTAGTCCAAATAACTGACCCAAACGTGTAACACACAAACCCTTTAATATCCCATCAAATAAGGAAAATTATAGATTAAAAAAATAAAAATAAAAATAGGAAAACGGAAGGCATTGAAAAGCCTAATACAGCCACACACACCACTTCAAGATACACTACACGCTCAGTTTAACCATGAATCACCTGAAATTTATTATGTACTAAACCCTGTATTCTGTATTGACAAAAAAAAAAACTTAAACAACACACCTGAATGCAGCTATGTACTCAGCATCTCCCATTGGTTGCTTCAGTGCACCTGTCCAAGCAATGTTGACGTTAAAACCAATTCCATCTTCAACTCCAACCTATATCAGATAGTGACTTATACCACTAGCATATCACAATTTATACCCATACATGTTTATGTAGAATCAGTTTTGACCCATTAATGTCTTGTAACAAACAGCCGTGCCATTATACATTTGGTAACCTACCAAAAACCTTGTTTTCAAAACCTTGTTGAAAAGGTGTTCATTTGCTGTTATATTAAACTTATATTAAAGTTTTTCTTCATTACCCATTCAAGCCGTCTCCAGCCATTATAAAGATATACACAATTCTTATGTTTTTTATAGTAACAGTTGTTATCATAAACTCAGAAGTGTGGTATTAACAGAAACATCTGTAAAAAAAAAAAGATAATTGTATGATAATGAATTTTAATTAAGGTTTTCTTCGTGTTCGTTTTCACTATATATCACATCATTCAAAAGTAAGTAAAACAAATTCTAGCAACTAACATCATATCATATTGGTCTATATATGAGGCAAGAAGCTGAAATAAATTTTTTTATTCAGACATCCCCACATAGAGTGAGGTTGTTAACTGGGTAGCAACTACATCACAACATTGACAAACTCAGAAACTTTCTCAGTCTATCTAAACTCCAGAAGTTACAGAAACTACTTTTTATTCAGATATAGTAGAAGATCTTGGAAAAAACTAAAAGGATTACTTAAAACACACAATTTATAAACCACAAATTTTGTATAATTAGTATATATATTTAAGCTGCTAATGATGGTACTTGGATTATGTAGAAATGATGTAACAAATGTTATTAAACGACAGAAGTCTGGAGTACTTTGGAAATATGCTTTACCTCCAGTGGATCACCAGTTCCTGGGAAAAAATTACCATCATCATGTCGGTGGAGAGAGATGTAGAGGACATGAGGATCATCGTAAAAAATTTGTTGGATACCGTTACCATGGTGAACATCCTGAACAAGGTTATCAAATTGTTTTTCGTTATTGTTTGATAAGTGAATAGCTCGTTTTATCCAAGTTAAACATTTTGAATAAAATTTAACTTAAAATTGTGAAAAAAAGGCAAAACATCACCTTAAAGAGGCTCAATCTGAGTTGAATCTTCTAAAATTACAATTTTTGAAACATCACATGCAAATATAAAAATATTTATTGAAATCGTATATATTTTTAGAATTCAAAAAAACGTGGGCGTCATAATGTCTTCATATTTATCATTAGAAAAACCTAGTTATGCCAGTTACTAAACAAGTTAAGTTAGAACAACATAAGTTACTAGTAGTTTTTCTTTACACATATTAAATGTATTAATCTCCCACGAGTACAAAAAGGAAATCGGAGATAAGTAAAGAAGTCACATAACTTACCCAATCAATTATCAGCATTTTTTCTAATTTCAATTTTTGTCTCAACTGTTTTGCAGCAACGGCAATGGAATTAAAAAAACAAAAACCCCTAAAACAGAGATGAAGAAAAATTCGATGACGAGGAACCCACTTTGAGACTAATAATGGCTGGAGACGGCTTGAATGGGTAATGAAGAAAAACTTTAATATAAGTTTAACATAACAGCAAAACCTTGTCAAAACGTTGT